CCCTTTTCCCACTCTAGCTGAGGAAAAATGAAAGGATATTCTCGGGTGAGGATTAAAAAAAAAAGGTCTTATAGAAAGTAAAACAAATAAAAACTTAGGTTAATAAGAATTCCACTAATTTGCATTTAATACAAAATTATGAAGGAGTCTGTGTCTGTTCCTGACATTTTTGTACATTGCTGACTGCCAGTGAGTGAAATGACTGAATTAGGAGTAACTCAAGATTTAAAATTTATTCATAGTTAATACCTACTATTCTTTTTCCTTCTTCTATTTACTTTTAATTTACATTTAGTATATACCCCATAAAATAAGCGCTCTGGAACCAAATACCTTGACTATCTCCTACCTCCAAGGAGAAAATCCTTTAAGAAGAGTTAGCAAGGCTTGGAGTAGCATAACACAGTATTGTGAAAGGAGGCTGTCTATTCTTTCACATGAGCCCAGGCTGTCAAATTTGGAAAGCCTCCAAGGTTTTTACTAAATTAGTTCTTCACAGGGCAGTTTTGTCATTTCATTTAAAGTAAATTCCCAGATCACACATACTGATCTAAAAATATAAGTAAACAACAACAAAAAAAACACCAAAAGGCAAAAGCTATTTCATTTTTTGTATGCACTATTTTTAATTATCCATAACACTTTTGTTTAAAGAAATACCAACCTTTATTCCTAAGATCATTCACAAACAGTAAAATAAAATCAATAAAGCACTATTTGGTGAAAGTGTAAGTGAAATTAGCCTCCATTTTCAAGGTTTACAATCACTGCAAAATAATATAGAAAAAAAGAGAAAGATCTCTAAATCATGCATTTTTATTTTCTTAAAAAGTTCTCTTGTAATTCCAAACTTAGATGTAGCCACCATTATTGTATTAATAAATATCTCCAGCTTTGGGCCTGGCTGGTGTGGCTCAGTGGGTTAAGTGTCGTCCCATGGATTGAGAGGTCCTGGTTCAATACTCAGTTGGGGTACATGCCTGGGTTTTGGGCTCGATCCCTAGTAGGGGGCATGCAGGAGGCAGCCAATCGATGTTTCTCTCTCACATTGATGTTTCTATCTCTCTCTCCCTTTTCTCTCTAAAAAAAAAAAATCAATAAAAACATATTTTTAAAAAATATATCTCTAGCTTTGGGCAGACGAGTTAAAATTTCAGAACTTGTTTTTCACAAAACTGTGAGAATATTTGCTTTACTACCTTATAAGGTTGTTATGATAACTGAAGAGTATGAAAATGAAAGCACTTACAAATAATAAAAGACTACATCAATGCTATTGGCATACATTTATATAAGTTGATACCAATTTAGAAGATAATCATTAGATTTATTCCTATGATTGCTACAATACTTTATCCTTGCTCCCCCCCCCACTAATATGTACAACCAAGAAATGACTATAAAAAAGCAGTAATATTATGTGTTACTATAGATACCCTAAGTAAGGGATACACATTAATTATGCACCCACTAAACTAATTTAGTTCTTATGGGATTGAAAAACTGTTAAAATCTTGTGAGTTATTTAATTTTAAAGTGTAGTTGAAGGTTCATACTTGCACACGACACATTGTCTATGAAGTTGGAGAGCAGTGAACATGACAATAACGGAGTAGTTTCTTGGTGGGGCTTTAACAAGGCGACGGAACTTGTCTCCATTCATTCTTATTACAGGTCTTTTATTGGTCCATTCCATCAGTTGACTAACCTTTTCAGATAACACCATCTAAAAAAGACAATGGGAGCATACCGTTAATATTCTGAACTTTTCATTTAAAATTCCTTTTATCTAGGCAACTTAACACGGAGACTAACAAGTAGAGGTAGATATGAAATGTGAGAGCTCTAAAAATAAAATTTAGGCCCTGGCCGGTTTGGCTCAGCGGTTAGAGCATCGGCCTGCGGTCCGGAGAGACCCGGGTTCAGTTCCCGCTAAGGGCGCGTACCTCGGTTGCAGTTTGTGGTTGCAGTTTGTCCCCGGCCCTCGTTGGGTCCTGTGGGTGGCAACCACTCGATGTGTCCCTTTCACGTCGATGTTTTTCTCTCTCTCTCTCTCCCTCCCACTCTATCTGAACAAAATATCAAAAAATGTCCTCGGGTGAGGACTAAGAAATAAAATAAAATAAAAATAAAATGTAGGAGCTGGGCCTGCGGATGATAATTATTCACAAAATTACATGATTTCATGATGAGATTAAATCAAATACTATAAATTTTATGTGAGTTGTTTATTATATTTACTAATACGTAAAATAATATAAAGTCATAAACCCTTTTGTTTGCCAAAGATTCCAAAGAACGTGGAGTTAAACTAACTGGCTAGTTTTATATAAGATTCTGCTTCTCAAAACATACACACACACCTACAAACTAGAACAGTTGAAACAATCTTGAAAAGAATGAACAAAGCGGGAGGAATCACTCTCCGCAATTATAAGGTTTGCAACATAGCTATAATAAGCAAGCCAGGGTGGTAGTGATGAAAGGATAGACACATAGATCAATGGAACAGAACCAAGAACCTAGAAATAGACCTACACAAGTACAGTCAACTAAGTTTTCAAAAAGTTGCAAAAGCAACTCAGCAGAGGAAGGAGAGCCTTTTCTACAAATGGTGCTGGAGCAACTGGACATCCATACTCAAAATATGAACTTTGAAATAAACTTCATACCTTATATAAAAATTAGTTCAAAATGGATCTCATACTTAAATGTAAAATTAAAAGTATAAAAATTTAGGAAAAAATATAAAAGAAAATGCTCAGGATCAAGGGCTAGGCAAAGTTCTTAGACCTGACACCCAAAACACAATTTATGAAAAGAAAAAGAAACTGATAAAATGGACACCATCGAAATAAAAATTTTTCCTCTGTGAAAGGAGGAGAGGATGAAAAGACAAGCTACAGAGTGAAAGAAGATATTTTCTAAACACATGTCACAAAGGATTAGTAGCTAGACTATACTTTTTAAAACTACCAAAATTCAAAAGTGAAAACCACACAATTCAATTAGAAAATTGGCAAAAAACGTAAGACATTTCCTTGAAGATGATCTATAGACATCAAATAAACATGTGACAAGATGTCCACCATCATTAGCCATTACAGAAATACAAATTAAGAGCACAATGAGATAGCACTACACACCTGTAACTAAAATAAAATATAGTGACAATACTAAAGGCTGGCGAGGATATAGAGAAACTAGATCTTCTACATTGCTGGTGGGAATATACTATGGTACAGCCACTCTTGAAAACAGTTTGGTAGTTTCTTAAAAAATTAAGTAACTAACCATGCATTAACCATACAATTCAGCATTCCTGAATATTTATCTCAGATAAATGAAAATTTACACCTACACACAAAAAAGAAAGAGCTACATTTTGTTCGTTTCTTTTTCACAGCCAGTCATCATGAGACAAAGGAAGAGAACTATGGTTAGTCAACAAGAATTTCAGCTGAAATTCATGCAATCATATTTATCATTTCCCTCATCTCTACCCTTATATTCAAACTTTGCAAGAATAGTAAGACAAGGCGAGAGAAAATAAAAAGTACAGAAGACAAGAATCTCAAAGCAGACTTAATACTAAATTATAGTTTTGTTCTTCTTGAAAATATGTTTATAAAGGGCTGGTACATCATGAAGTGATTCATTATGCAGAAGCATTTGACCAGTTACATTTCCCATTACTTATACTGAAATTTGGCCAGGGCACTGGTATTCAAACTTTAAAAATAGACTCCTCCCATGTAACTCAATCATCAGAGAACAGATGTTAGGCTGTGCCTTTTCACTTTGGAAGTGGATCAGAAACTTACTAGAAAAATAGCACTCTTTGAAAGACAGCTGTCAGTAATGCAAATCTGTTGCCTCAGATTTGGGCTAAGAAAAATAATCCCTAGAAACAGTAATAGCTTCTGTGGCTTTAGTTAACCTCAACAAAATTAGTCACCTTGAGAATGCATGTCTAGTGGGTTGTGAGTGACCCTAAATGGTTTTCCTAAGTGGTCAAGAACTAAGGACACAAGTATATTAATCCCACCCCTCCAGATCTGCTAGATGTTTCACATTTTTAAAATGTATTCTAGCACTTATCATTCTAAGACATTTTTGACATCTGTTTTCTTCCCTAAACTATTAGCTACTAGAGAGCTGACACAATACTTTACCATATAGTGGGCACTCAATAAGTGTGTACTGAATTTCTATTTAACAGAATCCAGCTGGGAATGGATTAACTTGCATATTATGTAACATATAGGGAAGAAAAGATAATTGCACATACAAACACACAGAAATGGAAAAAAAATTAAATATATGTTCTATTGATTTTTTTAGAGACAGAGGAAGAGAGAGGGAGAGATAGAAACATCCATGTGAAAGATACATCAATAGGCTACCTCCTGCATGCTTCCTACTGGGGATTGAGCCCACAACCAGGGCTTGTGCCCTGACTGGGAATCGAACTAGGACCCCTCAGTCCATGGGACAATGCTCAATCCACTGAGCCACACTGGCTGGGCCTAATTCATCTTTTTTTTATAACCTCACCCGAGGATATTTTCCCATTTATCTTCAGATAGAGTGTGAGGCGGGCAGAGAGAGAGAGAAAAAAAACATCGATGTGTAAGAGACAGATCGATTGGTTGGCTGATGCTCTAACCACTGACCCAAACCAGCCAGGGCCCTAGTTCATCTTTTTTTTTTTTTTTTGGTACGTGCCCCTGGCGGGAACCGAACCCGGGACTCTCTGGTCCGCAGGCCGACACTCAACCGCTGAGCCAAATGGGCCAGGGCTCTAGTTCATCTTTTAATAGTAGAATCAGTTACCAATATTTGGCAAGAGTAGGGAATATTTGATTTAAATAAAAGCTGAGTAGATTAAATGTATTCAGTTTTTCCTACAAAATGAATTCTTATTATTTGATATATCCTTAATGAGTCTCACAGCTCAGAGAACAATAGTGGTTCACAGTTTTAAAATATGCATTCTTGTGCTCTCTTCAGCAACATATGTACTAAAATTGGCACACTACAGAGATCAGCATGGCCCCTGCACAAGGATTACACACACATTCGTGAAACATTCCATTAAAATAATAAACAAGATTAAATTAAAATAATATGCATTTTCTACTTTTAAGCAGTCATTAATTTTGTTATATTTTCAAATTAAATTTTATAGTCACCAGCAAATTCAAACATGATTTGGCTATTTTACTTACCATGGCTGCAGATTCTACTTGTGGCTATTTTAGACAAAAAATGAAAAGCAGTAACAAGTATTAAGGCAGGTTTTTTTATATAGTCTACTTCTATTCAATCACATAGATATACATATGATCATTCCAACAAAACAAGTATATGTGCTTTGAGTTAGCTATACATATGTAGTCTTCTTAAACAAAAAGTCTTAAATAACTTTCAACTAGGTCTATGCAAAACATCTATAATATTCCTGTTCCAGTTTATTAACAGCCTGGAAAGGTCACATTTCTGCCTATTCAATTAGTTCAGAGGAATTACAATTTCTCTTTAAAGCTCTTATAATATGAGATTAGCAAGTTAAAAAACTGCTTAATACAGGGGCCATTAGGTTACTTTCTGAGTTCATTTTCTTTAAAATGAATTGAAGATAGATCACAACAAAAGATGAACTAGTTTAAAATTTTTACAATAAAATTACATGAACACAGCCTGGGACATAATTAGAAGTTATAATCCTTATTCACAATGATTTAATATTTTAATATATCTTAGAGTACGCCTTTCCTGACTTTAAATGAAACAAAGTATAAAGAAACCAATTTTAACATAGGCTAATTGACATAAACAAGAGTTAATTTCCTACATTTCATCAACATTACAAGGAAAACAACAAAAGGATGTTATTCAGGGACCTGTTGTATTTGGAATGCTTAGTATGAATGTATTGGGCAGCAACTTCTTTTTTTTTTAACCTCACCTAAGGACATTTTTGCATTTATCTTCAGATAGAGTGGGAGGAAGGGGGGGAGAGAAACATCGATGTAAGAGAGACACATCGAGTGGTTGCCACCCACACGACCCCAACCGGGTGGGGACAAACTGCAACCAAGTTACGTGCCCTTAGTAGGAACCAAACCCGAGACTCTCTGGTCTGCGGGCCGACGCTCTAACCACTGAGCAAAACCGGCCAGGGCACAACTTCAAACCTCAAAACAACACTATGAGGTACTCTACTATATGCTTATTTAACTTTTTTTTTTTTTTTATCCTCACCCGAGGACATTTTTCCATTTTTTACTCAGATAGAGCAGGAAGGAGAGAGAGAAAGAGAGAGAAACATCGATGTGAAAGGGACACATCGAGTGGCCGCCACTCACACGACTCAACCAGGGCCAGGGACAAACTGCAGCCTATGCTTATTTAACTTTAAAAGATTTTTTCTTTATTGATTTTAGAGAGATAGAAACATTGATGAGAGAGAATATCAACTGGTCGCCTCCTGCATGCCCCCCACTGGGGATCAGGCCCACAACCTGGGCATGAATCCAACCGGTGACCTCTTGATGCATGGGTCTCTGCTCAACCACTGAGCCACACCAGCCAGGCCATTCAATTTTTGAGTAAACAGAATCACAGAGGTTAAGTAACTTGTCAAAAGTGCCCAAAGTTAGTAAGACACAGAGCTAGGATTCAAATAGCCATGATCATTCTAAACCAGGGTTTCTCAACAACAGCACTACTGACATCTTAGGTCAGATAATTATCTGTTGTGGGGAGCTGTGCTGCACATCGAAGGAAGTTGAGCAGCATCCCTAACCTCTATGCCCAGCTACAACCGCCAAAAATGTCTCCAGACATTGCCACATAATCCTGGGGGAGAAATATCCCCCCTTCCTCATTGAGAACTGTTCTAAAATGAAAAGAATTTTCACAGTACAACTTAGGTTTTTATAATTGTATTATGCATTCAAAAAACTTTTATTCAATAATGCTCAGAACACAATATAAAATATTTGACAATAAAGTACACTAAAACTTCTCAGAGTGAGCTGTTAGCATAATGGATAATAAACTTTCTATACCCATGTTTCTCAAAATGTAGCTGTTAAAAGTACAGACTTCTGGATTTCATCTTCCAATAAATTTAACTCAGTGGGTCTAGGGTAGGTTCCAAGAATACAAAATTTTAACATGTACCCCAAGTCTTTATATGCACTGAAACTTGAGAACTACTGCTTATATTCTAATTCTTATGAATAGGGATCACATGTTACATAAATTTGTGTGTGTAACACTGGGAAATTAAATAAATATTAAGCAATTCAAATAAACAACAGAAAAAATACACCATTCATAGTAATAAATCACCTGATCTTCCTGGAACAGTTGAAAAATGTGGTATAGTCTAGATAACTCAAATATAACACCTTAATATTTACCAGACACTTCTTTCACTAGTTTTCTTTTGTCTTCTCTAGTATATGGTTTTATAAACGAGCATCGCTTTTGCTCACATTTGAGTTGAAAGCTTTCTTGATAGGAGTAAATTTCTAGTACTGAAGAACATCCTTCCTTATGATGCTTCTCATCCATTGTCAAGAGGCCATTGTTTGTTAATAAAAGCCATGGCTTAGAAATAAAAATTTTGTTTTTCGGGTAAATACCCAAACAGGAATTGCTGGATCATATAATCTTGTATACCTGAAAATTATGTAATGTTATTAACCAATGTTACCCTAATAAATTTAATTTAAAAAAATTGCCCTGTCTGGTTTGGCTCAGCAGTTAGAGTGTCGGCCTGTGGACCAAAGAGTCGTGGGTGCGATTTCGGTCAAAGGCACGTACCTCAGTTGCACTTCAGTCCCTGGCCCTGGTGCGGGTCATGCGGGAAGCAACCAAGTGACTCTCATACATCAATGTTTCTCTCCTCTCTCTCTCTCCCCCTCTCCCACTCTATCTGAAGATAAATAGAAAAATATCCTCTGGTGAGGATTAAAAAAATAAATAAATAAATAAGAAAAAAAAGTGTTTTCTATAGCCTCTCCACTAAGTTCCATTATTCACTCTCCACATATTCCATTATCTTTCAAAATCACAACCTTTGAAAGTAAAGGATTAAAATGTCACCTATACCCTGACCAGCTGGTGTGCCTCAGAGGTTGAGTGGTCAACCCATGCATCAAGAGGTTGCCGGTTCAATTCCCGGTCAGGGCACATGCCCAGATTGTGGGCCAAATTCCCAGTGGGGGGTGTGCAAGAGGCGGCCAATCGGTGTTCTCTCTCATCAATGTTTCTATCTCTCTCTCTCTCTCCCCTTCTCAAAAAAATAAATAAATAAAATAAAATGTCACCTATACCCTTCAGTTCCGCCTATTTACTATTTAATAGTTAAAATTGATTAATAAGAAACACATTTTCCAAGGACTGTGGTAAAGAAAAATAAAAAGTTTACCAAGTGAACTACTCAGTAACTCAAAAAAAGGAATTGATTTGGAAACAATTCCTATTGCAAATACCTTTTCCACTAAGTTTCAAAAAAACATTTAAGGAAATATATCCATCCAGTTTTTAATTTGCATTAAATATATTCATTCAAAACAAAATATAGGCTTGCTATGGGAAAACATTAAATTTATAAGCAAAGACTTACACAATCAATTTACCTCCCCCATGGCCCAACAAGTTTGGCTCAGTAGTTAGAGCGTCGGCCTGTGCACCGAAGGATCTTGGGTTCGGTTCCAATCAAGGGCACCTACCTGGGTTGCAGTTTGGATCCCCGGCCTTAGTTGGGGTCATATGGGAGGCAACCGATCAATGTCTCTCTCACATTGATGTTTCTCCCTCTCTTTCTCCCTCCCCCTCCCTAAAAATCAATGGAAAAATATCCTCAGGTGAGGATTAACAACAAAAAATTTGCCCCCTTCTTGGAGTACATTACTTGGAGTACATTTCCACTAAAACAAAAACAACAACGATATTCATAATTAAAATATCTTTCAACAAACTTAAGTAAGTTTACTCTTTCTCTTCTCTTGAAACATTTAAATTAGTATGGCCACACAATAATCCCACTAACAGTAAGTCAATTAATATATCTAATCCTGTTGGTGATAATCAAGTGTGATGAAATTTTTAGGGCTACAAAGATTAAGAGGGCCAAGAAAGGGCAGCAAGACAATGTTTAATTTTATTCTACCTGCTTGCATAGTATTTAGCCCAATTAGCTCAATTAGTAGATTAGGCCTTAACAACCACAAATTCCCCTACTTTACTGAAAATCAGTCATCAAAAATAGCATATAGGAATCTATTATCATTTAAAGCTAAAATATAATCCTGCTATTAAGATTTCTTCTGAATTTCACAAGTTAAAAAGCTGCCCAGGTCCTGGCTGGTTTGGCTCAGCGGTTAGAGTGTCAGCCCGCGAACCAGAGAGTCCCGGGTTCGGTTCCCGCTAAGGGCACATACCTAGGTTGCAGTTTGTCCCCGCCCTGGATAGGGTTATGTGGGGGGCAACCAATCGATGCATCTCTCTCACATCGATGTTTCTCTCTCTCTCTTCACCCCTCTCTCCCTCCCACTCTATCTGAAGATAAATACAAAAAATGTCCTCAGGTGAGGATTAAAAAAAAAGAAAAAAAATTTTAAGTCAATAAAAACACTTAAAAAATAAATAAGTAGCCCTGGCCGGTTTGGCTCAGCGGTTAGAGCGTGGGCCTGTGGTCCGGAGAGACCCGGGTTCGGTTCCCACTAAGGGCACGTACTTCGGTTGCAGTTTGTCCCCGGCCCTGGTCGGTTGTACGGGTGGCAGCCACTTGATGTGTCCCTTTCACATCGATGTTTCTCTCTCTCTCTCTCCCTCCCACTCTATCTGTACAAAAATTGGAAAAATGTCCTCGGGTGAGGATTAAAATAAATAAATAAATAAATAAGTAGATTTTTAAAAAGCTAAGCACACCAGTCTGAATTCCTCTGAAATGTACCACCCTCTCCCCAAAATATGATGTGACTGTATCTGTGTTCTAGACCATCAGGGTTTATTCATAAAAATTCTTCATATTTTTACTTTCCTAATCATCTAGTAGTTTTCAGATGTTAGGAAAATAAATTC